TGGGGGCCACAGACGTTGTCATCTTAATACTTGTCATATAATATATGTTCATTAATCGTCCATGTTTGGTACCTGATCTGATCAAAACCCATTTTTGGTGAAAGTGTTGAAATCATCTTGACCCCCCTTTGTTCCCCCATTTTTTGATTTTCCAAGGTTTGACCTTCCTGTGTTCCAGGCAGCCATGACGCAGTGGGAAACGAGCGGTTTCCGAGTCATTGGACGTTGGCCAAGTCGATCCATGGTGAGGTCGCAAAGATGATCCGGGGCTGGGGAATGCTGGGGAAACTCTTGGTGCTTCATCCCAGTAAATGAGTTCACCCCAGTTCCAAGTGCATTAATATCAAATTCTGGGGATTTCAACATGGGTTTAGCACACACATATATATATATATACCATTATATATATATATACCATTATATATATATATATTGTTATATATATATACATATATATATATATACATATATATGTATACAGATATATATATATATAATATTTACATATATATATATATGTATGTATATACAAAAACCCTGGTCATGTCTAAAGACTTCCCTTCACTACTTATCACCAAGTCGACGGCCGACTTCTACCTATGAAAATCGGTGGATTTGAGGTGACATGATGTGGGGATCTAAATGGTGTATATATATATATATCTAAACATGTATATAATATACGTTTTATTTGTTACATTTGGCTCTTTTGTTGGGGGGGTTAGATCAATTAATCCGTTCGTGATTTGAGAAATTTAGTTGAACATACCAGCATGGATGGTCTGAATATGGGTGGAATTGGAGGAAAGCTACCCATGATACACCCTGGATGAAGCTATAAACTGCATCATACTTGTGAGCCCTGGGAAGGGGCCATGAAGCGGAACTGCCGCTGGTGAATCCAACGTGTTTCCTTGACTGGTTTCAGAAAATAGATGCAACATAGCAACATATAGCAACATATAGCAACAGAAGATGGCTGCGATTTTCTTCGCGCAACATTCCAAAATAGGACTCTTTATCTATAGTATTTTATAGTCCATAGATGTCCTTCTGACATTGGTTGGTGTCCAAGTCGTGGAGGTTCACTATGTCCAAGATGGACAGGGAACTCCACACGTTGCGAAGGTGTGGGGCCAATACACGGCCCCGTGGATGGTGACTGATGACTGGGAAACCAGGGAATCACGGGGATTTAATACGTCCTTTTTATACCCACATATCACATTTTATGAACATGTGGATTTTTTTACCAATCAATTTATCATGGTTTAACAGGAACATTGTGAACAAACACAACAAAATTGCGTGGCCAATTCTATAGGTGAAGAGCTTAAGATACTGAGCATGAAACTGGTTGTTTTTGCCTCATAAGTAGAAGAATGTTTCTTTCTTGAGAATGGAAACCCATGGGTTTCTTCCATTCTATGCCCATCTATTCCCATGAATTATATATCTATTCTCATGCAGTAAACCCCAATAAGAAACTATCTTCAATATTCCCATGAGCGGGTGGCAAAAATCATCCCCAAATGGTAGTTGTTGATGCATGCGGATCTTTTAATTGTCCCACAAAAGTGGAGGTTGGGGGCGGGGTGGGATGGGGCAGTAACGTTCATGTAGATGTTCATACATTGCTGACTTCGCATGACTGCTACGTCTCTTGCTGTGCCTGGCTTGAAACGATGCCCACCAAAGTGCATTGGCCAGCTCGCTGTGTTTCGGGAACCAAAATTTCTGTCAGGGTTCACGACCCCAAGAAAAACATTAAAAAAATATGATTCATGCATTTCGCACAACCAAAATCAACATTTCTTACTGGTGCTTAGCAGGGAATGAGGGAATGATCCATAATCACTAGTAATAATCATCCCATTCCCCCATTCCCATACATTCCCTACTAAGCACTAAGCACCAGTAAGATTTCGCTATGACAAAAGTCCAAATTTCTCACCATTGTGGGACGGCGAAGGGTCCGCGGGTTGTGCGCCCAGTTCCAGCCGACAGATTCTATGGCAGATGGCAGACCGTGTAGCATCACGCTATTGTCAGACCTGTTTCAACCACGGGTTTCGTTGGGGAAAAACATAAATCTAAACATTCACACAATTATATATACATATTTAATTATAATATATATATATTTTTTTTCCTTGATATTTTCAGAAAGTCAAGTTCGGCTTTCTTGGACAACTTCTCTCGGCTCCGATCCCCCCGATGATTCGACCAGTGGTGGTCGCAGGTGGTGCCCAAAGACCAGACGAACCTTCTGAAGGAGCGGGGCGCTGTGCCGCTGGAGGTCTCAGTGGTTTTTTCGGATAGGGATTTCCCAAGTATAAAACCACAGTTAAAAACCACTGAGAATTTGACATATTTAACCAGTTCCAGTTCCAGTGGAGCCTCCAAGTATCAAAGTGGCCATTTTTTAAGCCGACAGTTTTTGGTGCTAACAGTTTTGGGGGCTGGGTCTAGGCATGTCGCCATGGAGTTACATGGATTGGACCCATGGACTAGCATGGTGGTTTCCTGGAAGCTCGTTCACACCGGGATGATCATCCGGAGGTGGCGACAGTTCAGCCACGGTTTTTGGTGATGAGTCAGGACCTATAGTAACTAGATGTATAACTGTATAGTACCCAATTTTTTGGGTGAAATCCAGATCCATAAATTCCAGCTATTTTGGTGTGAGAAGGGGTCCCCGACTTTGACCCCGGTCCCGCCATTGGTTTACTAAGAACGTCTCTGGGTGTGTCTGAAAATGGGGGATGAACCCCCAGTGATTGCAGTTTGTTTATTGGGAAGATCATCATAAACTATAAACTATATGGGATTTTGGGGAAACGTGGTTTCAGACAAGCTCTGAATCCAATCTCAGCATGTGAGCGGGATCCCCGTTGCACCTGGCCAGGATAGAGATGAGTCCATTTGGTCCGAGCCTCGGCAGGGCCGATCCAACATGATCCAACTATCGCCAGCCGTTGTTCGAAGACGGGAGGTGTGGAAAGAAATATCTGTAGATATCGAAGATCAAGTCACATGATGCTTCATGCCGTGCGTTTTTATCAACTTGAGGCTGAGTGAAGAAAGGGACGTGCACTTTGAAGATCTGAGGAATGAGATTGCAGTCAGGTTGCTCAGTTCTGGTTTCGGAGTCAACGTTCCACAATGTCGATTGCCCACTTATATATTATATAAATTATAATTATATATCTAAATGAAGATAAATATGATGACATGATGATTCCTAGTGGCCTTAACCACCACCACCAAAAACATCCCAAAACCCTGAAAACCTGTGGATTTCCTATAAAAGCACCGGTTCATCCATCCATAGACATATTATGACATATTTACCTATCCAACATGATAGTTTTGATTCCCAGGGTATCCATCGGTATCCATTGGTCCATTGGCATCTTGGGTTGGCTCTCAGGGTGGATCTGGACATCAAAAAACACGCCTCCATCGAGAACATCTCGCCATCTCCGGAGGTGGCTGAGGCAGAGGCACCGGGCGATGCCGGGGAATGCTGTTCCTGGTGAAGGATGGGGGAATCGTGGGAAGCTTTGGTGAAATGTACCTTTCGTATAGTTTGGTACTTACTGATTTTTGTGTCATAAATAGGAATCTATATATATATATATATATTATGCATATATATATATAGGGAATGTTTTGTTTGGTACTAGGGCATCCAAGCTTGGCAATGGAATGGGCCAATTCTTGAGAAGTTCGATGGGGGACATGTTCATGCCCAGCATATATTACAAAGCAAAAAAATCGTTACATGCGATATGCGGAGGTGCTGAAAAGGTGAGAAACACCAAGGATCATTCCTTGTTTTGCAGACGGATGATTTTGTCATGAGTGAACATATCTGACTGATTCATCATGATTCATACAGCATTTGATGATTTGAAATTTCCTGATTTGACGATTGGGACACTTGCCATAACTCTGGTTTCAAAGTCCCGCTTGTGATCTTTAAAGCATGTTAAAGCAATCAACCACGAACGCGATTCTTGATTGGTTAGGGATTCGGGTGAGTTTGAAACATTTTGAAACGGTTGGACATGAATTTGCCGGTTTCAGAATGTTTCAGACATCATTTAGATGATCAGCGATTGGTCGCCAGATAGGATAGTCTCAATCTCTGTTAGGTATTGACAAGTATTTTGCATAACCTACGTATGGGCCACAAAGTGAGCAAATAGATTTTCGATCAGGCGGTATGCAATATCAGTGCGATGTGATTGTTATCAATTTCACTTGCTAGTGCAATTTACATATTTTAGCTTCACTTTACATATTTTAGGTTCAATATTGAAAGAATCTAAGAATCTAAGATTTCCTGAAGCTACCATCATGTTCTTCTTAGCCACATGATTAGTTTCTAAAAATCTAAGACTTACTAAAGTTACCTAAACTTCCTCATCCCTTCCCTATTCATATGAGCTACACCCAGGCGTGGGTCCCGGGGCCCAGTGTCAGCTACAGCAGCACCGCTTGGCGCGTTGGATCCCAGCGGTGGTGCAGTCGTTGCTTGGTGGAAATGTGTGGTCGAAAATCAAGAATCGTAGGGATACAATGGGATATAAATGGATATAGTCTGGATATGGTGGGGATATAATACCATTGATAATGGCATAGAAATGTTTATAATACGATGCAATAGATTTGATTTAACAAACAAACATGTGGTATAAAACAATGGGATCATCCTTCCAAAGGTGGACCCCAAGAATGTTTGAGCCTAGCTGAAGCGAATCTGAACCACCAACAGCCATTTCGGGGCCACCTTTTCTGGGGCTGGTTGAATCATGTTGAATCCCTATGATAAGAGCTCAGACAAATGGAGGTTGAGCATGGGATGCAAAATGTAGAGAATGAGCTCGCAACGATGAATGTATACATGTATATCACATATGAATCAGAAATGCATAAACATCCCATAGGGTTTATACTATTTTTTTGCTGATATATCCACGCATGACTGTAAAATGGTATGCAAATGGGTCAGAATATATCCCCATCACTTTTACATAGATGTAAAATCCCAACCCCCTGACGGCTGATTTATGGGTGTAGTTTTCACCTTTTGGGAATCCAACATGATGTGGCGAAAAAACACATGCAAATTATCCATGAGAGTCTTTCTATGTGTTGTTATTGTGTTTTCTGCCTTGAAGAGTGTATCATACGCTATATCGTGACTGATCTTTGATGGTTGATTCCTGTGCCATTTTGTTTTCGCTATTTAACCAAGACCTGTTTGACATCACACTAGCACATAACTTCTTTGAAGGGTACTGTATTTGAGGTTAGTACGTGTGTCCTACTGTCAAACAATTGCTTTGTTGGGGAGATCCATTTGTTTTACAGTAGCAGTCCATCACCCTTGTCATCCTTTTCGATGACCTCCAGGATTTATGAATCCAGGGCCCATCCAGGGCTGACATTGACACAGCTTGACCTTTACCCGTTTCAATCATTTGAAATGGAGGGATGTTCATCAAAAAACTCTAGGCAAAGTGACTGGTGAATGCTTGGGTGACAATGATTTTTGGCTATGTTGATCAAGGTTGTTCCATGCGCCACTCAAAAGATGTACAATACAAGGAATCTAAGAATACCGTTGGCTTAGCCATGAGAAAGAAAAAATGCACTGTTTCATTTATAGATGGCCATGCATCCCCCGGTTTTGGATGATTAAGAGTATGATTTCTCAGCAGTGCTATGTCACCTGGAACATAAGGTACTGGGCTTTCATTAAGGCACATGAGGATTTATGATTGACAAACCATCCGTGGGACATGCAACAGCAGCCGTGAGACATGAACTAGCAGCCCTTGGATATGAGCCATCCTTGGATACAAACCATCAATAGTTGATTTTTATAATCAGTAATGAGAACATGTTGTATACGTAGATTGACTTCCAACCTGCATATTTATGTCCTAGGGCCACGGATGGCAACACGCCAGCAGTGGGATATCAACCATCAATAGATGATGCAGCAACCAGATGATCAACAGTATGGTGGCATAGTCTATGGTTTACAGGGGCCAGCGCAATCACAAACCACGCCGAGCGCTTCCCTGCTTGTTTTCTTTCTTTTGCTGCATAGCTGGTGGTTTCAAACTTTGGTTATTGTTAGCATTTGTCAAAGATGATGATCCCAACTGACAGGCAGGTTTTGAAAAGGTGAGTTTTTCAACCACCATGCAGTTCACCCTCCGGCAATCAACTCGATGGTTTGTTGGAAAACCACCCTGCCTTAGTTCGATGATGTTCCCAAGGTTCAACTCGATGAGCAGCACCAATCCTGCCGCTGGTTTCGGATTCCAACCGAGAAAAACCATTTGGGATCTAGTTCGGGAGTGTTGGCAGGTCAAAGAAACCCGAGATTGTTGATGGAGATAATCAGATGCACTTCAAAGACATTTTGATATGTTGCATAAATTCTGTGTGTTTATGTTTCCTGGTAGGAGTAGGATGAATCAGAAAGCGTCCTGCTATGCGCTGCCAAAGTTCATCGATGTTGTTGTTTCGATGAATTCCATCCCATCATTGTGGCAGCAAGCGTTCCTCCCATATGAGTCAAACCCCTGGGTTGCCTAGCATGTGATTACCCATATTGTTTCATGTCAAGCGTTTCGTTTTCGACAATCACATGTTTACATTCATGTTTGAACTTAGATAACCATCTTGTTTGGCTATTAAATACCGACTTAGATCTGTCATCAAGTCAATTGGGATATGTCTATATAGCCCAGCTAGTATACCTAAGACGTACAAACTTATGGTTACCACATGGTCACTACTCAGCTAGCCCGCAAACCATGGCTATGTCAGGCTATGTCCAAAGCTGTTGGGTTATTGACTTTTCTAGTTCAACGCACTTACACAGAGATATTGGTTTGTTTGATCAAAGGGTAACCCCAATCCCAATGGATTATGATCATTTTCTCAAAAACAAAGATTAACATGTCAGATGCACCCAAATATCATATTATCAAGTTAAGTTACTGGTTAGTTATATCCCAGATCATGTTTCCATCAGATCTTCCATCAATATCCCCATCGAATACGGTGTCAAGAACTTCTATATCGCGCTTCCCCCGAGATACAAGTTCGTTTATAAGACTCTAGATCACCATCCACGTATATTTTTGACTTCCCTATGGATTCCCATTAAATCCAGTTACGCAAGAGATACCTACCATAGCCCAGTAGTGACTTTTATGAAGTATATAAAATATTATAAAATATGGTTCGTGGCTAAACCCAAGGTGTTAATGGGCAATGGCGTGTTAGCGGCTTATTAACTGATAGTTGAATCTAAGTTTTGGAGTGTCAAATCTCCATTTCTAGTGCCTAAATCCCCATTGTTATAGTATCTAAACCACCATGTTTAGTAGAAAACCCACCATTTTTTGGTTTCACAGCCACCATGTCTTAGTGGTGAACCATTCATGTTTAGCGCCTAGCCACGGCCACGGCGTGTCAGGTTGGTAGCTACAACCTGGACGTCCGTCCCATGGCGGACTGTGAGAAGATCCGGCCCCGGCTGACGGCGGAAAAAAGACTATCCCGGCAAGAGACCCCAAACAGTGTGGGAATAGAGAATACATAAGGGAATAGAAAGGTGACAATCCAAAAGATGAAGGATCATATAGATGTGGATAATGTGGATACGGCCGCTAACAAAGAGCTACAAGAACGAAGCAGGAGAGATAGCATGGAGCAGAAATTAGTGACCGGAGAAGTAGATGAAATAAGTTCGGCGTGTTGAAATTTCTATTCCCAACTGCGTTTGCCGCGCAGTACGTGCGAGAAGCAGAAACCGCACAGCAGCATTCCCGGGAAGCGCTCTTGAAATGGACGAACCCAGCCAGAGAGGATGCGTAGATGCCAGACGCGCGCACAAAGTAAGAAGACAAGACTAAGGAGACAAGACAAACGAAACAAAGGGACACGACAAGACCAGACGAGCAGGGCCAGGCACGAACCGATGGTGACCGAGCTGGATGCCACGGATGTCACATGTCTCTTCCGTTGTCTCGCACAGCCGCGAAGACCCCTGGGCTGCAACGTTCTCACACAGGATAAGGGTGCTGTAGCAGAAGATTCCAAAACGTTTTAGCAACGCGCAGAATGTCCCACGCGTGCCACGCGAATGAAAAAGTGCCCGATGTCCTGTGCCTGCCACACAAAACCATGTTTCAGACCTCCAAATGCCCCTGATGCCCCACGCCTGCCACACGAAATGAACATGGCTCAAAAACCGAGCACGGCGCGCTGGTAAAACGACACCTTTCGACATGACCGCCGTCGCGGCTCCAATCCGTGCGAGCCTGCGCAGTCGAAACACACATGGACATCTCAGAGGGGAATTTTATTACACGTGAATTTACAGGAAAAAAGGCCGGCCCAGATCCACCCAAGATGCGCGACCTCCACTTTGCGCGAGCCTGCGCAGTCGAAAGCAAGATGGACATTCAACAAGAGCCACTTCATGCGAGAATTTAGAGGAAAAAAGCCGCCGACAAGATCACGCACCTTGACCACACCAGGCCTTTGCCACTACGGTAAAAACCCCTCAGTGTGGACATACTGTTCGAGGAAAAAAGCATTGGATCCTCTTGCAGTATTGGGCTCCATGTTTAATTCCCTGTGGGTTTCCCAGCCTCAAGGGGACACATTGGGTAGTAGGCTTATACAACATTATTGCAGTGCGTCCAAAAAAACAATTTGATTTTGTTGCAGTATTGGGTTCCATGTTTAGTTCGCTGTGGGTTTCCCAGCCTCACGGAGAAATATTGGGTAGTAGGCTTATAACATTGCACTTGTATCCAGAAAAAAGTGTTTGATCCTCTTGCAGTCCGTAGTTCCATGTTTAGTTCTCTGTCGGTTTCCCAACCTCACGGAGAAATATTGGGCAGTAGGCTTAACATTCCAGGTGTGTCCAGGAAAAAAAGCATTTAATCCTTTTGCAGTATTGGGTTCCATGTTTAGTTCGCTATGGTTTCCCAGCCTCACGGGAAATATTGGGTAGTATAGGTTTAACATTCCAGGTGCGTCCAGGAAAAAAGAGCATTTGATCCTCTTGCCATATTGGGTCCCATGTTTAGTTCCCTGTGGGTTTGCCAGCCTCACGGGGACATAATTGGGTAGTAGGCTTAACTATCCCAAAGTAACCTGATTTCAAGTTAATGGACCATTGTAGTGCATCCAGAAAAAAAACAGTGTATCCTCTTACAGTATTGGGCTCCATGTTTAGTTCGCTGTGGTTTCCCAGCCTCACGGGGAAATATTGGGTAAATAGTCTTGACTATCCCAAAATGGCATGATTTCGAGTTAGTGAACCATTGTAGTGTATCCAGAAGAACAAACATTTGATCCTCTCGCAGTATTGGGTTCCATGTTTCGTTCGCTGCGGGTGTCCCAACGTCACGGGGAGTATTGGTTAGTAGGGGTACCTACCATTTTGCAAGGGCCAGAAACCAATTCCTAATCACAGAATCTGAAAAACCTT